CACATGCCAGAACCGTTGATCGTGGTGACTACTGCTTATGTAAGGCTTTATCACTGAGACAGTTTTCTCAAGCACTAGAAAAATTACGTTCAATGGTTTTAAAGAGCAACGAATATGCGGTACAGTTGTCGTGGTTGTTTTGTTTCTGCTTAATGGTTGTCAATAGGAGCAGCTTATAATGCCCCCTTCCATTTTTTCTCGCTTTCTTGTCTTGCCAAGTGCTATGATTCTTGTTATATTCCTTGTACAAGCTTTGGAGAAAAGCAACTTGTTTATTAATAGTAGTAGTTGCGGAGTGGCGCTTCAGATTTGAGTATTAGGAACAGGTTAAAGGCCTGTGTTATTCCTATTCTAGGAAGCTTTTGTAGGTATCTAAGCTCCTTTTGAATGAGTGATTGAAGATTCGGACACTTCTTTGTATAGCAGGTTCTAATAATTGATTATTTGGTGTGAGAGAATGTATGCCACTGATATTTTTATCGTTCTTAGCTTTTGTAGCCACCTGCCATGTTATTTGATGTATCCTGATTACGTAATAATTAATAGAGAGTATTTTCTTCCTGTAGGTAAACCTCGTCCTATTGATGGAGTAAACCAAACTAGTTGTGAATGGGTCTCCATTTGGATAGCGTGGCAATCACAATGTAGCGTAGAATTACCTGTTCAAATACAAAGATTTTTAACCTTCAATACAATATAATCGGAAATATAATGCCTTTACAAGATAAGGAAGTGAATGTATAACTGAGCTCTATTGTTTTCACATATACTTCGTTGTTTGGGGTCAACTCTTAACCAATCGACTTAAGCTGTTCCCAGTATACATGAAGTCCAGTATCATTTCTTAGTATTCTATACATCGAAGTCAGATCATGTGTTTCCAGTACTATTATACAATTGCATAGTTCATCTTAACCTTTGAAAAGACATTAATAGCTCAAAAAGTATGTGACATAGTGTCTTTTTTAGCTTCATGATAACTCCACTGTTTTTATATGGAATTATGACCTTCAGCACAAACACGTGTATTAGTTTCATGACTTCGTACTTCTGCGCTTATGCACCTTGTGTGTACTTGTACGTGTTTGTCCATCACTCATTATTTTATCCAATGTCTGTCTCTCTATCATATTATCCACTGTCTATTTTCAGTTACATTTACGCTTGTAACTAATAGTATAGCAAGTTTACATATTCGCTCTGTCCGGTTCGCTTCTCTGCTTCGATTCACTTATTGTCTATCTGCAGGAACGAGTGTACGAGATTTACGTAAACGAAATACAGTCTCGTATTAGAATTACTTTTTCCTGGTGTTCTCTTATGCGAATCAGGTCGATATAAACATGATATATTTTTAAGGATTTGGCGTAGTGCCTCAAATCATTTTTAAATAAACGGAATATACCCACTGAGACATAAAATAAAACAAGATTGCTTCAACGAAGTGTCCTCTCATCTGCGACCTTATTTTCAAAGCTGTACAATTGCAAACATACATACCTATTTTTCCAGGTTCATAAATAATTGCAATGGTAGTAATAATAAAATAGTGTTGAACATGGTAACAGTGAGGTATAATAAACAAAATTATTGATCAATAATTTTTTTATTATTTAGCGCTTAAGTATTCTTCATGAAGGTAAATAGGAAAATAATAACTAGGTATGAGTTGCTCTGCATGACAAGATAAAATGTTGAAAATGCGGTGAGATTTAATCAGGAGTATCATAGAGAGAGAGAGAAATGAACCAATTGGGGTAGAAGGTCTATGGAGAAGATGGAAGGAGAAGCAGATGGCAGTAAAGGAGAAAAAGAGTGACGAAGAAAGAATATTCTGAGACAATAAGATCATGATAGAAAAAGGGGTTTTGCACATTTCTTCCGGACACAAAATTCTGGTTTCCCCAGATGTATAGCTATTACCTCGACATTAATGATATTGTGCAATGTAACTGCTTTTGGCAGCTTTCTGCTCACTTTGTAGATGATTTGCAGCGCGGAGTCTTCTTTGGTCGAGTGAACTGTGTTCGCAATGTTTTCGAGCATTCTGTTTCTTATTGAGCCATTTTCGCCTCCTTTTAGGCACGTCGGGTGCTGTTCTTAAATTCTTTTGTGTAAAGGAGGCATCAGACGACCTATATACCCGGCTACATATAAGCAGGTTAATTAACACGTACATATAGTTGTTCAGATGAAATAATTCATTCTTAAAATTATTGGTCAACAAAACTCGACTGAAGAACACTAGTCACAACGTTAATGAGAAGAAAGATCTCTGAAAAGAGAGAAATTCTCATCTTCGGGTTGTTTGAAGCTCTCTCATCCGTTCAATTGGTATTCATTTAAAACATTTCCTTTTCAACTAAGGTTACGAATGCCTTAGGCAGTTTTCGCTTTTTATTCTTGTCAACAAATATAGAAAAATACTACAAAAAGACTACAAATCCTTTGTATTCACTTAAGAAATGATATTTTTAGGCTTTGCTCTAAAAGGAACGCTCTTCGGAGCGACGTTACGAACAGTGTTCTCCAGCCGATCTTTGTTCATCAGTAATCTTCAGAACAAATTGTCTCATCTGACATATCAGGAATTAGAACGAAATGGCCGAAGCCGTTTGGAATAGGTGTAACACACAAACTAACGAAGCCAATTTATACAGTCACACGCAAACCGAAGGACGAAATAAAATAAAAAATAAAAAATTCATAATCGCTTAAGCGAACATCAAGTAGCGGTTAAACGCCATGACGTATATCCGCTTTTATATCAATCCATTACGAAAACTATGGACACATTGTACTGGGAAAATGTTAAGATCTCGAATGGAGGGAGTTCTAAAAGCATTATGGGATTTTAAGATGCTTGGTGCTCAGATCATTCAGCAATCAACAAACACATTGAAATCGATTTAGTCTGTCAATCAATCAGACAAATCATGGACAGATGTAGGACCACAAATAAAATCAACGGGAGATACAGTCAAAATGAAGAAGTAAACAATGGTAGGTTAAAGGTTAACGATAACCAATCAACATCGAGGTCTACGGGACAAGTTGTGACTCATATGTGGAGAAATTCGAACACTTCATTTCAATCTGAATTTTGTGCGGATGATGTCGTTCAGAATAACGATGGAAGCTCCACGACCGGATCACCTAGTCCATAGAACAAAACTCCACTAAACTCATCCACCTGAGCTACAGATCTTCACCAACTTTTTCCTATCTTTTTCAGATACCTTGGTCCCTGTTCAAGGGCGTCGGTATTCCACTGCTAATAAACACAGACGTTCGTCACGTTTAAGCCTGTTTAGTTCTATTCATAATCACTTACACTATTTGTTCTAGGTGTACAACCGATCCCTTGGGTTAGTCTTGTATAACCAACCTGCTGACTGCGATGGACAGATGGACAATCATCCTCGATCGCAAGGGGAATTTCGGTATCATTTACCTTGATTTCTCAAAAGCTTTTGATTAGGTTAACCATATATGTCTTATCAATAAGCTCAAAAGGTTGGGTATCAGACCACCTCCAATTGATTGGCTCATTTCATATATGAAAAATCGACATTTTAAGGTCAGGGTTAACTTCAATTTATCTCAGGCTACGGAATGTCCTAGTGGGGTCCTGCAGGGCTCAGTACTGGGACCTCTTCTCTTCTTGATTTTTATAAATAATCTTCCTCAACAGGTAACTTCGGACCTATTAGTTTTTGCAGATGACGTAAAACTTTGGAGAGAGGTACGAAACGAGGACGATATACTGGCAGTTCAGGAGGATCTAACACGACTTCAAATTCGGGCAGACGATAACGGACTTATTTTTAACACTTCAAAGTGTAAAGTAGTCCATCTGCGACATGTTGCAGACGACAGTTACAACTTGGGAGACTCCTCTTTAGTAGTATCCCAAGTCGAAAATGATTTAGGAGTCCTGGTGCTCTACGATTTGAAGTCTTACGCTAACTGTGACCAAAATCCCTTTCGAGCAATCTTTGCATTGCTAACATTGAAGCGCGTTTTTGGCCAGTTTGACGGAATAACTTTCCATATAATCTTCAACAGTTTCATTCGTCCTCATTTAGAGTACGGAAATATAGTATTTCCTCCCTCAATTCAAAAGAATAAGGACACTGGAGCGTATCCAACAGCAACCCACGAAATCAGTTCGTGGATTCAAATTCAAACCTTACGAAGAGCACCTCCAACCACTTAACCTTTACCCATTAGAGTATAGACGTCTTAGAGGTGACCTTCTGATGGCTTACAGTATCCTTAACACTTCCGGACATCCTCTTAAACACCTACTTAAGCTTAGTTCCAATACCAACCTAAGGGGTAACACACAGAAATTGGAGACACAACATGGCAGAATGGACTGTAGACACAACTTCTACTCCTTAAGAGTTGTCAAATGCTGGAATTCGCTGCTGACTGAACTGGTCCAAGCGACTTCTCAGGAGTCTGATGATGTCACAGGTATTCACTGTTTGACAACGCTTCTACCAGTAACACCTTCTAATATATTTCGTTCCCGCCCAGAGAAATCAAAATACAGAGTCGAGGAGATCGGAAGAGTATATTTCGCGATGACCAATATATCGGAATTCTCTGATCTAATCTGGCTAGCGATTGCGGTTGATGTTGAGCACGGCGTTACCACATGTGATCTGGTGCGGATGCCTGACCGAGCGCCTTCAGCTAGGTGAGTCCACTAAAACATATGGTCAGCATCCAATGTCGAAAACTTAGTGCTATTTATTTTGGGGATTTATTTACCGCTACAAGTCCTTTAAGTGGCAACTTGATATGTTCTTAAGGTCCAAGGATAGAATCATACTATGATTTACCAATTTCCTTTCCTATTTTATTGTTAGCATACCTAGGTTCTTACCTGGAGGTTTTGGTGATCCTCTGCTACTAGACACGGAAGCCTGTTAAGCGAAAGCTTCTTCCATTCCGTCCACAACAATTTGAACCTTTGTACATTTTGGCGCACACACCCCATAGCGCTACATTCCGCAATCTGGTAGCTCATTCTTTTAGGCCTGTTATTTTCACAAGTGATTCTATGTGCTTATAATCCCTATTTTATCTGCTTGGACATAGGAATTATTCATTTGTGATGTTTGGTGGGATTGGGTAATTGTTGTTGAAAAATAGTTGGCAACGTGCTGTTTAATCAGTACGTTGCTTTATGTTTTATTATCTACCATATTCAGTAGGATACTTTGTTACTATACCATTAACAAAGCCATTTTGTCCCACAACTCAATACATGCACTGGATGATTATTTGCGAAACGTAACTGACAGCAATAGTGGATTATTACAACCAATATTGGTTGGTTGCGGAGTATCAGGTTGGATTTAATCTACAATTATAATTGTAGATTAAATAATTATAATTATTTGTCGTAACATACTGGAAATATGAACCCTTCAATTTTCATCCTATAACTTGATTAGTATTCTACCTTTTAATGTCCACTGATCGACTTAGAATACGCAGATGATATAGTCCTGCTTGGTGAAGACGCTGACAAAATGCAGAGTCTTTTAGTAGCACTAAGCAACAATGCCAGAATGTTTGGAATGCGCCTCTCTCCCTTGAAATGCAAGTTGTTGCTTCAGGACTGTTCTGCGTCAACACCTGAACTAAGGATAGGGAGTGAAGTGGTCGAACGAGTCGACAACTTCACTTATCTTGGAAGTCTGATCAACCCTAATGGGTTGATATCGGACGAAATCTCAGCACGGATTCGAAAAACTGGCTTGGCTTTTGCCAACTTACGTCACCTTTGGTGAAGGCGAGATATCCGTCTATCAATAAAAGGACGGGTTAACTGCGCGGCAGTCCGTTCTGTTTTACTTTAAGGCAGCGTAACCCGCCCATTAAGAGTAGAAGACACCCGTAAGATACTAGTATTTGACCACAGATGCCTTAGAAATATTGCTGGCATCTGCTGGGATCACCGGGTAAGTAATAGTGAGGTTAGACGCAGGGTATTAGGAATGATGGTAAATCAGTGGATAATGTTGTGAATCTTCATCGACTGAGATGGTTGGGTCACGTGTTACGTATGCCCGAACACCAATTACCACGTCGTGCAATGCTAACCGGTGTTCGGGATGGTTGAGAGAAAGTTAAGTGCGGCCAATTCAAAACGTGGTATCAGTGCTTGAAGTAACTAACTTCTGGTCTGAGCCATGTTGGTAGATGCAGACTACTTAGTTGGGGTCCACGTAACTATCGTAACCAATGATTGGAGACTCTAGGTGGCATGGCTCAGAATCGATCACAATGGCGTCGGTGTATACACTCTCTGTCTTCCATTAAACTAATAGATTAAAATCGCTTCATATCTTTCTTTCTATGAACTAATTCTTTCTTCCTGTTCTGTATCCTTATTGCAATCTTTCTTTTATATATTACCACCTCTGAATTAACTACTTTTATGAATCTGGTGTTCATATTGTTGTGTTAATGAGGTATGGCAACCTGGACCGATACATATATGTGCCTGGTCCTACGTTGTAGCTGACTAACTTATAAAAAGTTAGACTGTTAATAAAATTAGTAATTTCACTTCAGAGAATTTATTTTCAAGAAGGCCTCAAACAGCAAAACATACCTATCGGAATACATATATATTCCGTTACAAGTTATCATTTATAGGTAGAGATTGAAATAGTGACACCTCTTAGTATAACTGTAAAGTGTCTACCGATGTTTGCACCGTATCTCAAGAACATTTATTCAAAAATTGAAGTTGGCGTTGTGGATTCATTTCCAGTATGTTTATTCGAAATTTTTGTTTTATATCCTCATACCTGGAGAGCATGTGACATTGCGTTCCATCCTCGCACTAAGTATTGGAGCGTAAAAAAGTTGAAATTAATCCCTTCCTTACATTTTAGGTGCTTTCAATTTGCAAGGTTTAGACAGATGTTGAAGTGCTAGCTATGGACTTAGCTGCTCAATCACTGATATTGTCGAATTTATCGTCAAAAGCAGTGACCTTCATCCAGTATATTTTTTAAGAAGACAATGATTTATCCATTATTGATTCTGTAGAAACTGAGAATTTTATTACCTATCAAAATGCTGACAGTTTGTAACCAAATAATCATTCCTTAAAAATTCGTGCTCATCAATTATTAATAAACAGTGTCTAACCAGCAAAAATGACCTTTATCTGATAAGCTACCCACTTTTACACACGAATTATTCGACTTTTAGACGCATAATACTAGTTTTACTACCAAAATAGATGATGATCACTCATCCATCAGTTAACTAACTTCTCCTCTTAAGACCTATTCTTGGTCTATTTATCTGATGCAAAAATTAACGTACATTTAAGTGTATTTGCTAAGTTTATGTACGACTATTTTTTTCCCTAAGTTTTTAGATCACGGTTACTAAATGGCGTGAAAAGAACTATGGACGCCATTGTTGTTTTGTGTCATTTCTGTGAACAACATGGTCCATCAGTAATAATGTGTACCCAGTCATTTAAACAATCACAATCAAATTTATCTGTAAATAATGTACCCGATGTTACTACTGGCAACGCTAATAATAGTAACAAAGATGTAAACACATATCAAAGAAAATTATCTAATCATGCTCTACAAAGTAGCGATGATGCAATTCTTACTGGGATAGATGTTTCGCCTATCCCTTTACCATCTTCATGTATGTAGTTTTGTTGCTTATGTGTTTTTGTTTTTTTTTCTGCCTGTAATGGGAGGTTTTAAACCTGATATAATTAGTTTGTCACTTCAGGTTGAAGAGTATTAATAAATTTAAATACAATTTTTGATATGATTACTTGTTTATTTACTAGTGGTTTACTATTTTAGTCTATCTCGTCAGTCATGTGTTACGCGTGTCTAATCACCGACTACCTGGACATTCAATGCTGGTTGAGATAGGAATAAGTCCAACGAGAAGTAGGAGTGGGCGAACTAAGACGTAGTAACAATCCATGAATTCATTGGCTGCTGAACTGTACTTTATAAGTACATCCAGACTATCCGGTTGAGGTCTGCACGATGTGGTTTCAGATATTACATGATGTGTATGAAAAGCGGTTACAGTAAGGAAGATGCATCTGTTCTTTCTCTGCCCTTAATTCTCGAGCTTCAATATTAGTCCGTATTTTTTATTCTTTGAATTTTCCCCTTTCTGAACTTGACGAGTTCTCGTTTGGTTGATGTTCTAACACTTCACGTCAGTACATTGATGGATTACAAGCAAAGCGAGAAACATAGGTTGGGACTTATTGTCAACGACTGTTCAAATGTAAACGTGAAAAGCACATTTCGAAAGAGACCAATGTCATGGAATGAGGGAAAGTAGAAAATTATACCTAAGTCAATTATGGAAACTAAATGCAACTGCGCCACTGACCAGTTCCGAGTCATATCGCAACGCTGGTGGTTATGATTGTGTAAAAAATATTCTTATAACTTTGGTCGTTAAATGTTTATAGTCATCAGCGAAATTGCTCTTTCTACCGAGCAGCTTATTGTGGTATACCTCGGGACTACTCACTGATGGTCCAGATGTTAGAACAGTGTATCGAAGGTGCCTGTGATCAAATACTTACAGCTTGTGTCTTCTACTTTCATAGGTCATGTTTCATACCCATACATTAAGACAGTGGTAGTTATTTGTCGTCTAAAGTATTTTTATTCTTCTTGATAACCATATCCCCTTAGTTGACTGTCTTCGTGTGCGTCGTTTACACCCAATGTGCAATCGTATCCAACACTACATTGGATTAGAAATGTTTTGGAGGCTGTTGAGCGATGTATTGCCAAACTATGAAGTCACTGACTTTCATATTAACTTGTGTCGGTGGGTGCAGACGTTCTGGTTGAGGTCCGCACAATAATCATAATCAAAGGGTAGTTACCTTAGGTAATGGCATGGCTGAAAACCTTGTTAAATTAGCCTTGATCAATCTTTAGTTTTAATGTTACTTCACTTTTTATATTCGGTTGTCTACTAATGCTTTCATTTTGACTGATCACCTAGCTGATATCAGTTCGTGTTGCACATCACTATCGAACTATCCAACTATTTGTTACATATTATTTTATTTTCTGAACAATAGCATCGAGATTTTCAGTGATGTCATCAAACATTACTCAACAGCAACAACAATCACATCCAGCTTGTAAAGCATGCTCATCTATCTTGTTACGTGATGAACTAGGAATAATTAGCTATGATCATTCTGCCAATCTTTCATATATTTCTACGCAGTTTCCAAAAGACACGGATTTAAGTACACATGTTCGAAATGCATGCTTGCGAAGTCTTTCTAGTGAGGTATTCAATCTGTGATTATCTTAATATGATTCTTTTTATGATATTTTATTGTTAATTACTTATTTTTTTGTATATTGGAACTGACACCACTTATTAGCTTTAATATTTAAACAATCTGTTCGTATGTTTTCATTATTTTCTTCTTTACGGTAAAAATGCACATGGAATTAAGTAGTCATATAAATTTCTGTATACTAGGTTATAGGTACACACATGTGATTGTGCATTATACTTCTCTCTAGTTCAAAACTGATTTTTGTAGTCAATTTTTCAAATGATTAAATTACGACAATACAGTATTCACTAGCATAGAGCAACAAAATTTGTCATAATGTCTTTGGCCTATGTAGTTCATCAAACATTCTAAGTAACTGGATATCGGTTTAACAAATGAAATAAATATTAACACGGAAAATGAAACGGATCTAAAATAAAGGTGATAAGTATTAATCAAGATATGAGAATTGATTTTTCTTTCGTTGTCTTCTAGATATAAGACATCCTTTAGTTTGCAGGGTTTTATCATTAAAGTTTCGTTGTCTGTTTAGACTGCATCTTCACTGCACATGTCGAAACAGTGGTTTGTGAGAATTTCAAGTAAGAAAATTTGTATATTTCATTCTAGATCCTAAGGACACGCTTTTATGTGTGGGAAAATTCATATAGCCTATCGTTTTTGCGGATTGTCCTAGTCATGTTGCTTACAAAGTTATTGAAAGGTTTATGATTAGGCTACTCTTACGGGGCGCTATGATGAGACGTCCATGTAATAAATAATTTAGGACTTTAACTGCCTAAACTATCAAGAACACACCATAAGCATGATCAAATATGTTTTACTCAGTACCACAGACTTACAGGAAACGCAGAATGATTGTGACTAACAAAATGCAATTGCATTATAATACCTCTTACATACGTGGTAAGGATGTTAAGCATACAAATTAATGCAAATATAATCTGACCAATGAGAGTCTGTCTGAGCCGCCATTTATCACTAACAATTTTCCACTTACTACAAGTCTACCAACACCAAAAATATTCATAAATATCGTCCAACTTTCCTTCGGACGTTTTTACTAGTGGAGTAGTAGATTCAGTCCTGTGTTGATCCAACCATGATCATGTCTCTAGATTCACAAGTAAACGCACATAAATTACAATTCATTTCTAGGTTATAGACACTCCTTAGTTAAGAGTACGCTGTGATTTCCCTGTCACTTAGTTCGTAAACTGAATAGTTTTTTTTGGGGGGGGTAAATATTGATTGCCACTAAGATCCGAAGTATAGTTTTACAATTATTACCCGGCAACCGGTCTGACCTAAAAACGCTCAATAATAAGTAGTTGAAAAAGCGGTGAGATTGTTTTTTTTTATGGACTTTTGTCCTCGTAGCCAGATGGTTTGGCTGTGGAGCTTTCGTCGTTATTCTGAACGCCATCGTCCGCACAAACTTCAGATTGAAATGAAGTGTTAGAATTTCTCTACACATGACTCACAACTTGTCCCGTAGACCTCGATGTTGATTGGTTCCTGTTAACTCTTGACCTATCATTGTCTACTTCATTTTGACTGTATCTTCTATTGGTTTAATATTTGATCCTATATTTGTCCATACTTTATCAACCAATCAGAAAAAAATCATGGAAAAATATAGGACCACAAATAAAATCAACGGGAGATACAGTCAAAATGAAGAAGTAAACAATGGTAGGTTAAAGGTTAACAATAACCAATCAACATCGAGGTCTACGGGACAAGTTGTGACTCATATGTGGAGAAATTCGAACACTTCACTTCAACCTGAAGTTTGTGATGATGATGTCATCCAGAATAACGATGGAAGCTCCGCGACCGGATCACCTAGTCCATAGAACAAAACTCCACTAAACTCATCCACCTGAGCTTCAAATCTCCACTTGTTTTCTTTCCAAGCCATAAATTTTGGTATTGTTAGACACCCAAAAACAGTAAAGAAGGTTGTCTAATCAATAAATACATAAACTAAGATGTATGTTGTAGGCCATAAATTAGTTAAGCACACAACCAAGATACTTATATGGAAAACACTATATAAAATTGCAATGAAGTCTCCTTTGTCTTAGGTTCCGAATCATCTGAAAACTCGAACTGTTAGGTTATATAATCTAAAAGACCCCAACAAAGCAGTCGTCATGGACTGACAGATTTGTCTTTACATAGCTATCCTTCTTCCCTCGATACGTTGTCATAATCCGACCACCTTTTTTCGCGCAGTCCCAGCTTTAGCAGATAATTTTCACCCTAGGAGCCATTGATAACAATTGTAAAGTGTATTCAGGCTGCTAAAGCTGAGGTTTGAAGTTGGTGACACTAATTGAATGTGTTCACCATGGATTCCATCGATTGGCAAAAAGATCATAAACAGGATAGTATGCAATTCTGCATTTAAAGTCATCTTACTGATCTCACTGGTCAAATGTATGGCAATTTCAAATGTGTTATAAAGAAGTTTTGTTCGTTTTATATTTAAAAACGCCACAATTTTTACGTTTTATCATTACCTACAGTCGAACATCGTAGTAAAATCTAAACTCCGATTGCTCCATAATCAATAAATCTATCTGTTCAGTATTCGTTCTTAATAATTTTGGATATGTAAAACATTTTCGTCTTGAATTTATAGTACTATTAATATCACCCTGTATAATAATGTAATTTTCTGTAGGTTTGCCCAGGTCAAGTCGGTGCATTTTACTTTGGTGATGAAATAAATGGTCATGTTTTAAGTTATAATTTCCCTTTGAATGATTCACGTGCGCGTGGTAATCAAAGTCGTTTCAGTATTTTGGTGTTATCATGGGATAAAATATACCTACTAAATATATGGTCATTTTTGGTAAGCCCGATAATTATTTTGTTTCTCAATGAATTTCCTCTTTCTAATTATCAAATTATAACATTTAATAAGGTTGGATAGTGACTAGGATTAGATTCGAGAACATGCGTTTCTCTCTATTTGCTACTTGTCATATGGTTATACCTAAATCCCAATGTTATTCATGGTGAGACTTGAACTCAGTACATTTCGCCTCAAACGTCAATGCGTTTTCCACTGGGCTACTTACTAAATCATTCATGTAACTATGATTGGCTAGTTAATTTGATTTTCTGACTTTTGATACTATCAAATATCTGAATTGATATTTTTCAGAATCAAACTTAATAGTGCTGCATTTTGCTGAACAACTTATATTATTAATAGAAAAAGATTTAAATTATCATATGACAAATTATATCAAGGCTATCTTCATAGGATGCAAATATGGCGATTACGACTGATAAAAATTAAACCGTTTATATTAATAACTGGATAGACTGTATTCCACATGTTTATCTTCCCTATACAATTGATGTGACTTCCCTACCTTAACTAACCATCGCGATAATTTCTTTCCCTAGTGTTGTAATGTGAGTCGTTGAAACTTGGTTTATGATGTACATTTGTTCCAGGTTCTCACTGTCTAAGATCAAAGTTATCACAGAAATTGACATACAGATGAATGTGTATCATGATGTAACGAAGATTCCGATTGAGTTAATAAGATCTTAAAAATATTTTTGTTTCAGGGACAAAAGGAAGTTTTGTTTTTTTCTTTCTTTAAGATAATAGACGCTCCCGAATGCCTTGGTACGGCCGAGAGCGGGGAGAATCAGCTCTCTCTCTCGAAATGTTTTCACATGACCACGTGCATACAACCACTGCCAGGGAAATCTTACTCACTGCCTTCTCGCGACGCGGGTGTTACCTACGAAGTTGAGAGGACGAAAAACGAATGTCCATCGCCTTTACCGGGTCGGTGGACACGGAGAGTTCACTTAAGCGAGTCGAAAAATCCTGATTCCAAACCATTTCTTCATATGGGCTCCGCGATCCTGAGAGAAAAAATGCCGTATGAACCTATTATTGGTCATCGGCTACCATTGGACTGCATCTTACGTCGTTCCATTGCCTTGTGGATCAGACCTTTAGGTCAAAGGCTTGGGTTGTGGCCTCCTAAGAAAACCACCTGTTTCAGTTTGGGCACACGAGCAGTATCCTAGCCCTCACACAAATCGAATTATTTATGTGGCGCATATATATCTGGTGCCTTCTTGTACTTATGTTAATGTGCTTAGATAAATAAAATAAGATAATAAACAGAACTGTGTAGGAAATAAATTTCTTTCTTGAGTTCGTTTTCAACAGTGTACAAGTGCATATATATATGATAAATTATGGGTAAATGAATACTTATACACATTGATCAAAAGGAATATACGAAAATCATTTAAAAGTCTCTTCTTCACAGTCATCTAACTCTCAACTCCAGATCACTTTAACATCAGGCTCTAAGCATCATAGGTACAATGCAATCATTTATGAATGAACTGAAACATTCCACGAAGATCTCATGCCCTTTTTAGGTGTCTCTATCGATTTGTAAATGTATTTCAAAGAGTATATCCTTAATATGATTAAATCTAGGTCTCAAAATGATATGATTAAACTTAAATATATTCTACAATCAGCTATCATTCAGAGAAAATTTCCAGGTAAACCTTAAAAATATATGTACAATCGTTCATCGCTACAACTCACACCCATATAAACTCAAACGCTGTTTTCAGGTCCAAAATATTCTAATTATTCTGAAAAGCATAGTCAAATTTGGAAATCTTATCAATTGAACTGATGATCTTGTTCCAACTTCTTTGGAATCACAACATTTTAACTCAACAATACTTAACTGTCCCTATCAGTTCATGAAAGCATGACCAACAAATCAATGCTATTTAATTAAGTGACATATTCAATAGATAGAACTTAATAAAGAGAACCGAGATATTTTATTAGTCCGTCCAGTTTGGGGAACGTGTATGGTTCTACTCGATCGGTATAAATGCACAAATAAAATGGAAGATTTGTTATTTGATTTTAGTAACTTTTCGAAGCCAGGTAAAAAAAGATAAAGCAGAAATGATCAAAAAGCATATTACAGCGAAGTAACAGTGTTTGTTAATTGCTAATCATTTTTAAATACCTTCTTTAATTCCACATTATCTCTGCTATCCATTAAATGTATAGTGATCGGAATTGTGAATGCTTTATTCCTTTTTGATGGAACTTTCTCTGAACTGAATGGTTTGGTCATGGAGACTTCATCGTTATTCTGAACGACATCATCAGCACAAACAATCCACTTCTACCTGAATTTTGTGTTGATGATGTCGTCCAGAATAACGACGAAAGATCGACGACCAAACCATCCAGCTCAGAGTACGAAACTCCATCAAAATCCTAAACTTTCTCGAGTAACTTTACTATCAAGTTTTTTTTGTGTTTTATTTTGATTGGTTGGATCACAGATATCGAATATATCACGTATGGTTTCTCGTCTACGTCTAGCAGCCAGTCGTGTATACAGTGATGAGACTTCAGATAATACAACTGCTGCTGTTGTCAATACAATGACTCATTCAAATCCACAGAAGCCGATAGCTCCATTGAGAAGATGTGCTACACCTCCAGCTTCGTTAGCTCCTAATCTTTACAAACAGGCTATTGCAGCAGGTAATGCTGTTACGGCAGGATACGGTTTATACAGTAATGCAACATTAGGAAGAGAAACAAAACAGAAAAGAGCTACCGACTCAGATATGCGTTCACTGGCTGATTTAACAAAAGATGATCAAGTATGTGTGTACATATATGTCATGTTTAAGTTTTTTTTAATGTCATGGTGGTTGCACAGCTTTATTAGTTACAAATAAAAAACGAAAGAGAAATGGTCTTCATCATGAACTACTCAAAAATTGTTGGGTCCCTGTCTGAAAAAATAATATTTTAGAAGTTTTAGCGATTTCCATGGCAATAGATTGGAGATGTCAGATGTTATTACTGAGAATCGGCCGTAAAGGCGCAGATGTATTCACTTCCTATCTGTACTTGAACCTTGAGCTTCAAAATGATCTTATACTTTTTATTTCGCGCATGCATTCATTCTTCTCAAATAATATTCCCCATGAGTAATGTTTTTTTTAGTTACCACTACCACTGATATTACTATTTATGCTAATTTATTATTCACGTTGATAATTTCTTGTTTGTGTTGATGTCGTATGATAACTCGATCTGATATACATATTTTTCAAGTTCTATGCTCCTTACTGTTGAGATCCAGAACATTCTTCGAAAAAAGCACAGAGGGGTCCTGAAAATGCTCGGAAACATTTCACCTTATCAGTATTGAATAGAAGTTTCTCAGAAACATCTAGACAGTGAAGAGCCGCGCGTTACATTTCTGATCCTGCTACTGCGTTTAGTAGAGTTCCAGCATCTTCCAGAAGCCGAATGCCGTCTGTTCATAAACTAACCTTCGAGTAAAGCGTCCTTTTCATATTTTGCGTCTTTTCTATCGTTTAGAATTAACCTGGTGTTGTTAGAAGAGCTTAGGAAAACGATTCAGGCGTTCAATCAGATTTGTCTTAATTACGTCTGTTACTCCTCTTGGAGGAGCATAGACCGCCCACCAGCACTCCCCATCCAACCCTGACAACTTAACCAACCGTATATTCCTGTATTGCTTATTATTATTATTTTCCAAAATTAAGATGAATCATACAAACAAAAGTTCCATTGTCTATGTTAATAATAGTTCTGGCACACAAAATGACTAACTTTCAGGGTTGAGGTACATGAATCTGAAATCAGTTACTATTGTACTGATTAGTTACCTTCATTAATACTGAATGTGAAAATCTGAAGATTTTTCAAAATGTTGTAAAGTGCTACTTAATACAGTCTATCTTCAGAACAAAATACATGTGTGTACATTTACGTATCTTCGTTTGTGTAACAACTAAATGTAATCAAATTCATTCGTAGATATTCTATCGTCTGCATGCTTGGTTCACATGGTTACTTCGTGCCGGTGGTCGTCGATGGAGTATAGTTCCTCCTGCTATTGCGCCTCCAGTTGATGAAGATTCAATTGTATCTCAGGAAGAATATGAAGCTTATATTTCAGCTGGTCTTGAATGTTTAACAACATCTAGTTCAAGAAATGCTGCTGCCGCTGCCAATGCTAACACTTTTAATTTGCCTGGTCATAAACTTGGTCATAGTATGAGTTGTATTAGTCAATCAAGTGGTTCTACAATATTATCAAAATCAATAAATCATTCAACAACCAATGGTACAAGAGATTCGATTGAAACAGATAATAACAAAAAATTATCGCTATATTTAAACAATATGTCAGTAGAAATGGCGAATTCCACGTGAGCATTCTCACTTTCTTGATATTTGTAAAAACACGTACTCCAGTAACAGTTTGTACATATAGCGACGTTGAGCGAAAATTGCAGTTTTGTGGTTAAAGTAGAGAGAAAGAGACAGAGGGAGTGGGATAGTGATGAATATACTACCAAGTAGTCATCGATTCTTTTACTTGCCTTCAAGCCACACTTTTTCATTATATTGGTATATTTGTTGCCCAAACCGAAATAGATGAAACAGAGCTTTATATTTAGAATTCGGTAGCTTTGTGATTAGAGTTGTAATTGCGTTTATACAAATTTGTCAGTTTACCGTTCTGTTAACTGAGCAACAATTTATAAACTGATTATTAATATGGTGTTAGTTTTGTTGTGATCATAAATTGCTCACCTCTGAATTCGCTTTATTCTCCCGTTCAGATTTTGTTACCCTAGTATAGATCGATGAGAATAACAAGGTTGTCTATAGTAATTACATATTGATCGACTACCTTTGATTCGATTTTTTAACATCGTAGTTTGTTATGCCCTCCTTTTTGAATAGCTTAGTAACCAAGATAACGGTCGTTCTATATCTCGAATAGACTGAAGTAGTAGATGTGAACTATTAAATTTGAACTCTGGGTAAAAAGCAATGTGCTTACTGTGAAACGTGTACTTGATATTTAACCCGTGTGTTGTGACTTTAAACCCACCTAATTATCACGTGATTTATTCGCCAATCGAAATACAACTTATACAATTTAAGCACTATGCCAAACCAATGACGTTCGACCGGTATGAACACCCTAGTGTCCTTATTGGTCCTTCTCGTCTAGCCATGCCTGTTGAGTCTAGAACACCAATAACAGCTTCTACTATACAAATCATTTATTTCAAACATACTCGGTTTATATACCAGCCAAAAAGACCATATCATACCATAAATAATATAATAACAATTGTACAAGATCAAGCCAAAAAGTGGCTGTGATTGTGAGAGACTTTAATTGATAACCTGGGTATAAATTAAGAATAGTAGATCGTATAACAGTAGTCGATAGGTCAAAATAAAGCTTATAATAAGAGAAATATGAATATACATATTCTAGTTACTCAATAGTTATACAATGAAAATAATATTTATAATATTAGTCCATAAATAGATTTTAGAGGTTATCATTAACTTATGTTTCGTCCGCATATAACGCTTTCAGACTTTCATTTTTCCAGAACAACCCAATGTAATTCTCATCTAAACACATGTGCACATACTCACCCCAGTATCGATTATTTGCAACTAATGTGTTAGCACAGTTTACTTCATTACACTGATTAGGTTGTAAGTCAGATTTTGAGTAACGAATATTAATAAAGCATTAGATAGTATAATTTCAATTAGTCAACATCAAATTTACTTCATTATAAGTTCTCAAAAAGCATATGGGTTAAACTCAAGGATTTAAGTGAGTAAACTACGCGGATTAGTTCAATGTGAAGTGAGCTTTCATTAAGAATTAATATCAATTAAGAAACCATTGAAAAAGACCGAGCATTAAACAGCTGTTTTATCCTGTTCCGGGCTCTTTAGTAGTGTCCACCTACAATTACGGTTATATCCTAGCGAAGATTAAATTATGCCAGTCAGCAACAACGTATAACTTCGTATGCACGTACGTACATCAGTTCAAGTTGTCATGCCACATTAGCGCACAGATACAATTGTCGATTCAAATCCCATAGTAGTGGAGGTAGTAGAAGTATAAGCAGTAATCGAAAAGATTAGGGTGAAATAAATTTGGAGAAAAAAAAGGGATATGAAGTATTCGGAAGATTAAATTATGGGTAATTTATGAGGGCTATTAATGAACTAATATTATGTATATATTCATATTTCTCTTATTATAAGCTTTATTTTGACCTATCGACTACTGTTATACGATCTACTATTCTTAATTTATACCCAGGTTATCAATTAAAGTCTCTCACAACCACAGCCACTTTTTGGCTTGATCTTGTACAATTGTTATTATATTATTTCTGGTATGATATGGTCTTTTTGGCTGGTATATAAACCGAGTATGTTTGAAATAAATGATTTGTATAGTAGAAGCTGTTATTGGTGTTCTAGACTCAACAGGCATGGCTAGACGAGAAGGACCAATAAGGACACTAGGGTGTTCATACCGGTCGAACGTCATTGGTTTAGCATAGTGCTTAAATTGTATAAGGCGTGTTCTGATTGGCGATCTTACTACGTGATATTTTATAGGCTACAAGACACGTCAATTAGCGACAGGGATTTTGCGAAAAAAAGAAATAGTCATCACAAATAGTATCCATCTGAACTGTAGATTTTATCCTTCATATTGACATCATTTAGTTGAAAAACGGGAACACGAAATATCCATCAACAAATATTTATTTATTCCAGTAGTTATGGCGTTGGATTATTCTTGATTTCGTAACCTGTCTAAAAGATATAGTATATTACGAAGAGTTGCATCCGTATTTGTGCACTTAAATATTGACTTCTATACTTACACATTTCTTTTTCTCGTTTTCGACACTAGGTCTTTCATGATCTTGTCCAGACTATTTACTGTACTTGGTGTCAACCCATTTAGTCGATTAGTTCAGCATATAGCTGTTGGAAATCAATTGGTTGTACAATCATTAACCGAAGATATACACTCTACACTGACATTGTCTGCATTAGCTAAACTATTACCTAAAGGATGTATTAGACAGGTTTGTCCTGTGTATACTCTGTTTTCGTTTTGTATGCGTTTCTATTCAATTTCGCATAAGGATATAATGTAACTCACCTACTAACCAAGTATATGTTTATGTATGCGGAACCTGGAACCAAGGTGGTGTGTGTGTGTTGTTAACATGCATTACATTTGCCTAACCACGGCATGGTTGAAACCTGAAACTCATTTTATAAAAAGTGTTTCAACCATTCAACCGTTGTATTCACATTCTGATATTTATTAATAGGTTGGATGATTAGTTAAAGAATATCCATTAGTGAGCCGAGAATTCAAAACAAAACTTCACACAACAATTGAAATAATTTCCCATTTTATCTCTGTAGTGTAATTATTAACTCAATATGTATGTTTATGTGAAGTGGAGTGAATGAGTCCAGCTTTGCATTATACAGTGAAGTTCAATCTTGAAAGGGAAATAAATCTTCTAAACTCCTAACTAACTAAACTTGAACGTATTCTGAGTACCAGACATCGGTTGAACAACTGTCAATAAAAATACAGCAAAACAGACAAAAGTCGTTTTTTACTATACTTGACAGCTGTACTATCTATTCTACTGCATATTTTAGTATCCAGTAGACATTGGTGTCTCTATAGTAGTATTGATTACTATTTTCAATATACATGTTGCGTTCTATAGTTGAACATCGTCTATGAGATTGAATCAATAAATCAAAGTTTGAATTATCAGTTCCTTACTAAGTATTCCGTTAAAATTCAAGATATTATCCATCTCATGTCTATGTTCAACTGACATTTTCAGTCTCCCCAAATGCCCTGGTCTAACCGATAGTGGGGAGAGTTAGCTCTCCATTTCGAAATGCTCTCACATGGCCACGCGTATATAGCCATGGTCAGGAAAGTCTTACTCACTGCCTTCTAGCGGCATTACTGTTGTTTACGAAATTGAGAGGACAAAAAAATATTCGGCGCTTTAACTGGGTTGGTAGACACGAAGAGTCCACCTTGGGGATTTGGAAAACCCTGATTCCAAACTAATGGTGCACATGGGCTTCAGTATTCTGAGGGAACAAATGGCGTAGGGATCCACTGTTGGTCAACGGCTACCATGTTACTGCATTTCCTTACGATGCTCCACTGCATTGCGGATCAGACCTTTAGGTCAAAGGCTCAGGTTGTGGCCCTTTAAGAAAACCACCTACTCTGGTTTGGGCACCCAGGCAGTATCACAGCCCACATACAAATCAAGTAACTTGTGTGGCACATTTGTGTTCGATGCGCCTTTGTACCAATATTTATGTGCTTAAATAAATAAATAAATAAATAAATTTTCAGTATCTTTTCAACTGTCATTCGTATGTATTTATTTCTGGAAGTTTAAGATAAATAAGTGTATTTATTAGCTACGTGAGGATAACAGGTTATGTCACTTTTATTATCTGAAACTTTTACACTTGCTACATCCACGTATGATGTATGAATGAAATGAACGGATTCTAAAACGAAAGTGATCACTGGATAAAATAGTAACCTGTTCACTTCTTTCAATCTTTATTCTTTTAGAAAAGAATATCAATGGTGGGTCAGGCGTCAATATAAAGTTTCACGGACTAACTGGGCCGTTGTTTTATCCTTGTTTAAATTGTTATAGGAGCTTTGTACACGCAACTTTACCAGTGCTCTTACCTATGACTTTCAAGCCTCTTGATGATTTATAATGTTTTTAAACCTTTCTGAATTATAACGGAATAATTCATACTTTCAACTACATTCTATTAATTCATGATTTATCATCACAATGATCTGATGCCATCGATGTTGTTATCCATGTCATTCTAGATATGATAATGTGCTGATCGGGTATGGCAAACAGGATCAACTCACGTCTGTGCTAGTATCTCTATATTGACGTTTGTCTTTCTCTCTGTCTGTTTGAACCTCTCTTCAGTCATAAAACAACTAACCAGTGCTCCTCAGTTTTTAATTATTCTCCGGGTTTTTGCCAGTTTAGCGGTAATATCTCACTTTAGAAAATTTAATAAAAGGTTGAAATTCTCATTTTCACTCGTCAATGATAATAGTAGTAATGATTTTCATTGTAATAGTAATACTTCTCTTTTAAATGTTTTCTTTACTTTTCAAGGTAATAGCAAGTCATGAATATGTGGCACCATTTCGTTGTAATCTTTTAAGTTTAACAAGTAATTTATTAATGTTAGAAGAAGATGTAAATATGGCTAAAGATGTTCTTTATTTAGCTGTTTATCGTTGTGAATGTAAATCATCATCATCGTCATCATCATCATCATCATCATCTTCATTAAATGAAACAACAATAATCTCTAATGAAAGTAGTGAAGAATCTTTTCTACAATCATATGTCAATTCTGTAAGTATTCCTATCTTGAACATGCATACTTGAAATTAACCAAATGTTAAAAGGGTTTTTTTTTGTTACTCAACTTTTAGCCACACTCTTCATGTGAAATGAAATATTTCTTCGCCTTTGCTTCTTTGCTTTTACATGTATCAAAGTGTGCATGTGCGTGTGTGTGTGTGAGAGAGAGAGAGTTAGTAAGATAATTACCTAGCTATCTAAACAGTACGAGATAGAGTTGTATTCGAACTGACGACTACTTGTTGGTTAAAAACCGAGTAATTTAACCACTAAACCATTACATATTAAGCGTAGGTATAAATAAGAAACTTTTTTTCTATATTCGTATTAAACAGTCTAAACATAAATATGATATTCCCCTATTCATGACTAACCCATCGTGCTGCATTAGATATATATATATATATATATATATATATATATATATATATATGACAGTAAGCTTAATTGTAGTTGAGTTGGTAAGCTTTCCTCAATATATAAGGCTACAATGTGTCAATGAATATTAAAACTGTTTATTATTGACTCCTACCATAATGTGGAACTTCAATGGAAGTAAATACATATAACTCAATAACTATGTACAGTTTCATTTAATTAATTTCAATATGTTTTCAATATACTGACGTTGATGTTATAAACGCCTAGCTGAACAATCTACAAGAAGTTAAATGAATGATATTGAGAAGATTTATAGCTCAGATGGATGATTTTGATGGAGTTTTATTCTCTGAGCTAGATGGTTTGGTCATAGAGCTTTCATCGTTATTGCGAACGACATCATTAACACAAACTTCATGTTGAAGTGAAGAGTTCGAATTTCTCCAATATATGACTCACATCTTATCCCGTAGACCTCGATGTTAATTCGTTCTTGTTAACTCAACCTATCATTTTTTACTTCTTTATTTTTGATCCTATATTTGTCAATAATTTTTCTGATTGGCATTTAAATTGGATCGATTTTAAATGTACTTGTTAATTGCTGATTGATTCATAGAATTCCCTCTATCCAAGATGTCCAGTTGAATATGAGTCCACAGTGGATGGTATTTAAAAATTACCATATTTAACTTGGTTACATTGAGCCTAGTTACGGCTGTTACTTCCAATGGAGCATAGGCTGCCGAACAACATTCTCCAACCCACTCTGTCCTGGCCCTTCCTATCTACTTCTATCCAGTTGCTGTTCATTCCCCTCATGTCCGTCTCCATTTCTTGGCGTAATGTGCTCTTTGGTCTCCTCCTTTGGCCCTGAGGATTCCAAATAAGGGCTTTCCTCAATGTGTGTCCTATCCGCTTCTAGCGCTTTCTCCAGATTTCTACTTCCGCTGGGATTTGGTTTGTTCTCACCCACAGTAGGTTGTTTCTGATAGTGTCTGGCCAACCGATTTTGCGTAGACAACTGTTAATAAACACTTGTATCTTTTTGATGATGGCTTTCGTAGTACTCCAGGTTTCCGCCCCCATACAGTAGAATTGTCTTGACATTTGTATTGAAAATTCTGACTTTGGTGTTGTTTGACATTTGTTTTGAGTTCCAGATGTTCTTTAATTTTTAGATATATTGCTCTTACTTTACCGATCCGCTCCTTCACATCCTCTTCCAAGATCCCCTCTGGGCTACTACCAATCCCAAGCTTGGATAAAGGAGTAGGGTTGGGCATGGGGTTAGTGATCCCATCCCGTAGAAAACTAACTCTCTAAAAAAAACACTAACGGTTACACTGAAACGATGCATTAATTCTTTTTTATAAGATAATTGAATGTGAGGAAATGATTATTAATATTATTATTGTTATTATTATTATTATTATTATTGGAAACTATTATTTTACTTACCTAATTAGTAATTCCATAAATATTTAGGTAAATAAACGGTTTTTCTAACGTTTAATAGATATGAATATATCATGTAGTAAATATTTGATAAATCTTGCAGATTGAACGCTACATTCGTTTCCTAAGCTATTCTGTAACCCCCAAGCTAGATCGATGCAGCGACCTGAACACGAGAGAGAAAACGCAAAGTATGCGAGAAGTACTTTACTCCAAGGTTCATTTTTGTACAGAAAAACACGGGTATTTATAGATGTTAACATTTGTTAAATCAACATCATATTTTGGCCAATCCGCTAAAAGACATATTATGCTACTGACCAATAGTAGCACTCCACGTTGACATTCCAGAAAGCTCCATCATGCTCTGACTGGCTAGGACTCTTCAGCTCCTTTAAGGCCTCTGGCGGATCCGTTGCAGTTCTCGGAAAGCCGACTCAACAATATTGATCTTTTATTTAAAGGAAAGTGTTATCTAGTAACCAATTATAAGTTTATTTTATAAGTTGATAAGCTTTAAGTTGATATATTTTGTATAAAGCATTAATATTATTATTATTATGTAACTATTTACATCGATTTAAGTAAATTAGTGCAATGTAAACCTTGTCCATTGTTTGAATTTTTGTATAACTTTTGATGTTCACAAAAAGTGTAATATACGTACAACTTTAATTTTTTAATTATATTTAACCTCCCCTTCACACTTATTTTTGTCACAGAACAACATATTAATTAGAAAGTTTCAATTAAGACTAGGTAATAATAGTATCAAACTGGATAATTGTTCCGTAGTAGTTTTGTAGACTGGTTAACAATGAACACCAACTACTGATATCTCAATATTGAATGAGTCAGAAAATCAATCAACATACTAGAATTCAGAATTCATGAAATGATCTTAGTTAGACGACTTGGCAAAACTGGGAAACATTGTATAGTTGTGTGATAAATGCTCTCGTACGGTTGAGGGTAAGGAAACCTCTCCCCCACGTAGAAACTTATATGGCTACTGCTAGGAGTACTGTTGGTGAGAGTAAGAGGACGGAAAGTGGATTTCTGGTGCCTAAACCGGGTCGTACTTTGCAAAAGATCTACCCAGGGGAGTTAGAAAGCCCTGACATCAAACTAATGGTGGATGTGTTCCTAAATCCTAAAGGTTACCAGTTACCATGGGATTATATTTCCTGACTCTGCTCTAACGCCTTATGGATTAGACCCTTTGGTGAAAGATTCGTGAAATGGCTCTTTATAATAATCACTTACTTCATGGAAGTAAACATTCCTGCTACTTCTTTCTATTCATGAAAACAATATTCACAATTATTTTATCACAGCCACCTATTCTACATTGTATCACTTATTTGTTCGTTCTAGTATAGACTGCTTTTTTGTAATGCACATCTACGACTCTACAACTATGAGTAAAGCTCAAAACAATCAAGTCTCACCATAATGTTCTCTAATTGAAAAATGATTCAGAATAATCAATCAATTCATTCATTAATTATCATCACAGAATGGTACTGTATCTGTGTTATTTTTTTTTAAGTTCAGTTTCTTGTTGGGGACGATAGATCCCCAAAACTCAAATTTTGTAATTTACTTATCGATTAAATGTGCAGATAGGTCAATTGATGAACTATCGATTAAATGTTCAAATAGCAGTCAATTGTTGATTAATAATAATTGTATAATTGTATAAATACGCTTGACTTGTATGCTTGATCTGATCTGCCTGCCTGACTTGTTATCTGCTGTTTGTCTGTAGAATACACTTTCTACGCCTTACCAAGACTTCTTGATCGAGTTAGCAGAGTTGGGGACAACGGACCAGAATAGACTATCGAGATTCTGAATCCTTGATCCGATCGATAAGTCACTGTCATATAATCGGCTGTCTCTTTGAGACATAACAGTTCTATATTCTTTTTTTTTTTAAAAAAATTCATTTAATTTATTATTATTTGTTTTACTGTGTTTTACTGTTTTGTTTTTATTTTCATTTGAATTAAAGTTAAATTTTAAATTCTGTTCAACAATTCCATCATTTGATTCAGAATTAATTTTATATAAAAAATCATTACCTTGTCGTTATTTGTCTTCTACTACTACTACTACTAATACTACTACTAATCATCATCCATCTATGACTATAATTCCTCGTCAATTTTTCACTAATAATAATGGTGGACGTATTACAATATCAAATTATGTACAACAAATTATTAAATTATTTCATATGAATCCACCATTATCAATAGATGTTTATACAATTGCTTTATCTACAATACAACATGAATGGATACATCGTGCACGTTTATTATATTCATTTAAACGTTGTCAAGTAAGTGGATTCCATTTTGATAATGAATGAAATCTTGGTTTTTTTTTACCCTAATTGATTAAATTTATTCAAGTAAAATACATGTACTAAGATTATTGAAACTCTATTTTATCATGTTTATTGGTGGTGGTGGTTGTGGTTGTGGGGCGGATTTACTTACTTACGCTCGGGTATTGATCTCTTTCCAGGAGGTCCACTTATCGACTTAGAATACGCAGATGACATAGTCCTGTTTGGTGAAGACGCTGACAAAATGCAGAGTCTTCTGGCAGCACTAAGCAACAATGCCAGAATGTTTGGGATGCGCTTCTCTCCCTCTAAATGCAAGTTGTTGCTTCAGGACTGGTCTGCGTCAACACCTGAACTAAGGATAGGGAGTGAAGTAGTTGAACGCGTTGACAACTTCACTTATCTTGGAAGTCTGATCAGCCTTAATGGGTTGGTATCGGACGAAATCTCAGCACGGATTCGAAAAGCTCGTTTGGCTTTTGCCAACTTACGTCACCTTTGGCGAAGGCGAGATATCCGTCTATCATTAAAAGGACGAGTATACTGCGCGGCAGTTCGTTCTGTTTTACTTTACGGCAGCGAAACATGGCCCTTAAGAGTAGAAGACACCCGTAAGTTACTAGTATTTGACCACAGATGCCTTAGAAATATTGCTGGCATCTGCTGGGATCACCGGGTAAGTAACAGTGAGGTTAGACGTAGGGTATTAGGGAATGATGGTAAATCAGTTGATAGGGTTATGCACATATGTGCCTGGTCCTACGTTGTAGCTGACTGACTGACTGACTGAAAGGAGCATAGGCTGCTCACTACTAGCATTCCCCATCCAACCTTATCCTGAGCAATCCTTCTCAATTCTTTCCAGTTGTTATTCATCCTTTTCATATCTGATTCTATCTTCCACTTCCCTTCAGGATTCCAAGTTAGGGTTTGCCTCGTGATGCAGTTTGACGATTTGCGTAATGTATGTCCTATTCGTTTCCATCGTCTTTTCTTAATTTCCTGTTCAGCTGGAAGCTGGTTTGTTCTCTCCCACAGGAAGCTGTTACTGATGGTATACGGCGGAAGGTCTCCATTTTTCTTCCGTTTAAAATGAATCCTCTTTATTTATACGAATGCATTTGTTTTTTCTTCGTTTTTTTTTCTTTATTATTCAAAATTGCCTTAATGATTGTTAGTGGTTAGTGTTGATAGTTGCATCGTCGTTTTACTTTCTTCTCTGTTGCTAGAATCAAATACACAGACAGTTTTCTTAAGTCTATCTTAACAGTAGTCATTCCGATAATGGATCGATGATTCCTGAGTAACGAAAGCGCTGGACATATATGCGATAATATGCTCAGTAAATTAACATATTCATTATCATGAATATCCTGTTATAGGATGTTCAATGATAATAATTCTGTGTTTATATCGAATCTAGTCTTGTTACTTGATATTATAATGTACTTGTTCATTGCTAGATTCATGTTTATGTATGATCAATTAACTACGTAAAGTCCATAATCATTTAACTATTTAAGTCATAAATATAAAACCAAACATTTTTGTGTAGGTTTAGTTGTCGTTTCTAAAACTGCTATTATCTCGGATTATTTTTACTGGTCTACACTTGCCATCGCTTCTTGGCCCACAAATGCTATGGTTCGGTCGAGAGTCAGAAGAGTCCACTCACCCTCTCGGAATGTTCTCACATGGCCGCGCGTATATAACCTCTGACAAGGAAGTCTTACTCACTGCCTTCTCGTGGCGGGGGTCTTGTTGAGGACGGAAAGCGAATGTCCAGTGCTTTGACCGGGTTGGTGGACATGGAGAGTTCACCTAGGGGAGTTGGAAAACCCTGGTTCGAAACCAATGGTGTACATGGGCTTCAGGATCCTGAGGGAGCAAACGGTGTATGAACTAATCGTTGTTCACCGGCTACCATGTTACTGTATCTTCTTACGATGCTCCACTGCATTGTGGATCAGACCTTCAGGTCGAAGGCTCCGGGTGCGGCCTCATAAGAAACCACCTTCTTCGGTTTGGGCACCCGGGCAGTATCACAGCTCTCGCACAAACCAAATGAGATCTGTGTGGCGCATATATATTTGATGCCTTCTTGTACCAATATCTATGTGTTCGAATAATAATAGTGCCTCCCGTTTCCATCAATAAAGTGAATCACATTGTTCAATTTCGTCTTTCTAAATTAAAAAATATTGTATTGTTTGGACGAATGATGACTACAGAACCATATTGTAGGTACCTATTCAATCATGGTATTGTAACCAGCATGTTAGTAGTTTATGGTTTTTATGGAGCTTGTCAAGTTTCATAAATCACATCAACAATTTCCCCGAGTCGTTTTATATTAACAAGTCATGCACTATTTAGTGGCTAATTCCGAGAAGTAACTCCCGGGGTTCTTATGAGAAAATTGAACCGGTGAATTTCAATTATATCGAGTGTTAGTAAGATTGTTGCATAGTATAGCAAATCGAATAAATTTGAAAATGTGAATCACTGGATGTAGACTCAGTAATCCAAATGTTAAATGCTCACTGTGCGATGTTTTGTTGTATAGGAGTAGATTGGAAGAAAGCTAGAGGCGGCCAAACCAAAACATGGCACAAGTCCATGAAGTCACTGACAAGTGGACTGAGTCATGTTGGTAGGTGTAGACTACCTGGTTGGGGACCACGAGATGATAGCAAACGATGGTTAGAGACCCTGAATGACATGGCTCAAAATCGTTTGCAATGGTGCAAGTGCATCCACTTCTTGTGATCTAAATTCTAATCTTCTGAATTCTTTATGTCCCTTTCTTTTTTCTCTTTCCAAATTTATTTCACTGGATTATACTCCTTGAATAACATCTTCAAACACTAATTTTTCTGATTACAGCTTATAATTTTACTACATGTAGCACTACGGGATTTGAATCGACCACTGCATCTCTGTGCTAATGTGGTGTGGCAACTCGAACTGATGTACGTACGTACGTACGTACGAAGTTCTACGTTGTTACTGACTGACTGACTAAATGCTCACTATAAAACCTAAAGGTCCTAGGTTAGATCTTCGGTAACTTTGCGAATGTACATTTCTGAGGAGTTCTATAGTGGGAAAAGACATTTGTCTTTAGTTTACTGGTTTTCCCTGATTTTCTTATTCTGGTCACTTCGTGGTTTAATATATTGACGTTTTGGTCCTCATGTTGTTCTTACCTTACTTTTCCATTAAATAACCATCTCTTCCTCCTTTCAATCTTAACTACAGGGATCATCTTTGAGCGGTGAGGAAGCAACTCGTCGTTGGACTAATGTACTCGCTTCAATCAATTGTCAATCAGCGGAAAATGCAGCTGTGGCAAGATTTTGGCAAGGTGCTTTAAGTCAATACTCTCGTAATAATATATGTCACTTACGTAAATGTCCAACCGCTACCAATTCAACGAATACATCAAGACGTGGTTCATTTAGCTCGAGTAATGCCGATTTAAATGCTGCTGTTTTAGCAGCTGCGATAAATTATCAATCGGTTCCATTAAATGATTAATTATCTGTATTGTTTTCATTTTTCTTTCATTTTTTTTCTTATCTTTATTCTTTTATATTTTGTAAATTTTTGTTTACTTGTGTTTTTGTTTCTTTTGTTGTGATTGTTAATTCGTTTCAATTTCTCTTCAATATCATCATAATTCAAATGTGAAATTGTAGGTCAGATTCTCTTGTTCCTTTACATCATCACCATCATCATCATCATCATCACAATTATTACGCTGTAAATAAGTTATCTATCTAGTTTTCTTACTCCGGTATAATCCATAATAATAATAGTCATGATGATGATGATGGTGCTGTTGCTTATTCGCTTAATGAGATCAAATGTTTATTTACTGTTGCTGCACTAAACCAACTAATTGTACCGGTGTATATATCTATCTTTATATATCACGCTTTAAGAAGTGAAAATATCAATCTGTCATTGTACTAAAAATATTCCCCATATAACTTACATATGATCAATCTGACTAATAGTGATCGCTTATATTTGTCTTATCAATATTACTGTATATAATTCACTATGTTATTGATTGATCAGTTGTGATCATCATTTTGATGATCATTATAAAAAGCAAATGTTATACTTAATCTTGTTTTATTTGGCTTCATATATATATGAGTTATTATTGATTCATGTATTTTTGTTTGATAACAACAACTTTACCAGTGTATATTTCATTCTTCTATAGGTGCCATGATGAGATATGTGTGATTTACTATTTCAATATATAAAACATCATCATTTTCATCTTATTTTAGAAGCCTTCAACTATAATTTCAAGATTATGCGGTTTTGATTGTCCGTCAGATTTGAATCATTATTACTATATGTACCTTATTTTTCTATGGATAAACTTGGAACGTTTTATTAAATTGAATGTTTGCCATATTTATCACACTTATACCTAGATAATTGCTACTCTAGTCTAGATATTATGTTGTATAACAACAGTAAATTGAAAAAAAGTATGCAGTCGACAAGACTAGAAAAATTCATAATCTCATTTTGGGCCGGGTGATTTAGAGGACCTAATTTAGTTTGCGAGATCTTGCTATTAGAGGTATGAGGGCGGTTGATCACATCGTGGAAGGATTCTTCTAGAGGTACCTCAAAAAGAAATTGGGTTAGAGGTGGTCTTAGTGACCTGAGGGCGTGACTGCAGTGCTCAAGGAATAGCTGCTTGAGGTCGGTCACATACGACCTTTTTATGAGTAAATTTTGTGTTAGCTTGTTAAGACCTTACCGCTATTGGCGGATGTTCGTGGGATAAGGTGAGGTGTGCATTTTTAAGGCCTACTTTTTCTAACCCCACTCTTCTTTTGTGGGAAGGCAGCATCGCTGTTATGCTAGTTGTCTGAAGAAAAACACCTTCCTGCTGTCACACCTCTGTACAGTCAGCAGTACAACTTCGCCCTCAAACCTTGGGTTTGCTACTTCTAGCCTTACCGCTCTTCAACCGACCTGTATGTCATGGTAGTACCATGAGCAACGATTGTTCCAGCCAGTATAGCTCGATTGGTTTTTAAGCTATTCTCGTAACCCCCAAGCTAGAACTAAACAGCGACCTGAACACGAGAGAAAAGGCGCAAAATATGCGAGAAGCACTTTACTTCAAAGGGTTGTTTTAGCACAGAAAATATAGGGTTTTTATAGTATTTTCCCGAAAATTCTGGAATGCTACTAAACATAGTAGCAGTATAGTAATCAGTCAATCAGAAACTGTACATGTGAATTTTCACTTTCCTAATGTTTCTGGCTAAACTTCAAGTGGAGGCTGATTGGATGAAATGCTTCTTAGTGTTTCCTAAACCTTTTTTGTCTTTTGCGAGAAGTTTTCTGGATTGCCCCAACAGCAAGTTCGACCACTTCATCAAGGTAGCAACAACGATCAGACGTTTGCGTGATAGTTGTGTTGATGATTAGCTCAGGAGACAACAAAAGTAATGTTCAATTGAATGTTCACTTGAGAGGCGATATTTTTCCCTCCACGTAGGCTGTAACATACAACAAACTAGAATTTGATTGATTTACTTGCTCTAGTTGACCAATTTCAACTTGTTAATACTACTAGGAACTGGTTTAAACGTAGCTAACGTGACATTATTAGCAGGTCTAAGGATTTATTTACTCATCAATGTAAGTGATTAGTTATATAATTAAGTTGGAGTCACGGTATTTATTAAATAACTTTTTTTTCCGGATAAACATACAGAATCCTATTATATAACATGATCATAATCAAGGTCGAGAGAATATCATGTGATTAGTCTAAGTATTGATGAAGCTGTAAATCCATGGGATTAATTTTCGAAAGGGATATTTTTTAGATTAGTGTTAGGGGAGATGCTAATGAGTTCAAGTCCGTAAAATTTGATTCAAACGTAACAGTTGGATTGACTCCGATCATTTTCTCAAATCTACGACAATTAACGAACTTATTTTGAATTCTCATGGTTTAATATGTTAATCCTGTAATTGTCCATTCCACTTCTACAGTGGTAGCTTAATACATCCAGTTTTCTATCAATAGATCACTGTTTCCAAACTTAGTTCACCAATTCCAGCATGTGCTGCGAGGTAGTAACGCTAATCTTCACATATATAGTGCCTCATACCTCAGTATATAAATTCCTGGTTTGGTAAGTAATGGTTCTTCTTTTACATAGCCGACTTGCTCTTGTCACACCATGTGAGACCAGGTCTCCAACACACAGTCCTGGGCCCTCCTCTTCAGTTGTTCCTAAGCGCTTTTCATTCTTTTGATATGAACTTGGAATTATTGACGCAATGTATCCTTCGGTCTTTCTCTCTTCCTTTCACCATTACGGAATTAATCATATCCGAACACCTCGATTCCATTATCACTGGCCAAGTAGAACGCTGCAGCAAATTTTGCAATCATTTTTCACTTCTAACCAAATTCATCGTTGTTGAATTGTATCCAATTAGTATCGTTGGTCCATATTATTAAGAAGTCTCAAATTACTGTGAATATATTTGCTCTTCTTCATGTAGTTTTATGGTTCCCTGGTTGGCGTCAGTTTCTAAGGAAATCCTCACAATCTATCCACGTAACTGCTAAAATTCCTTCTCACTAGTAACCATCCTTATGTTGATTATCTCAAAGCTTCAGTAGAAATACCAGATCTGTCGTGTAAACCAAATAGGTATCAAAACATTCGGTGAAAGTCACGCTATATCACGGAATTATTGCTAGTGAAATAAGCAATACAGTATTCTGACTCAATAATTTGAGGGCTTTTGTTTGTTAAGAGATTTAAAGATCGTGATCTATATATTGTATAGAGTTGTAAGTGTACACCACTGCTAAAACAAACTAGGACAGGATGACTCCCCAATGTTCTATGATAGGTATCAAGAAAACTGTCACCATGCCAACTATTTATTTACATTCACCGCATATTGTAATTGGTCTTTCTTTAAGGAGTTAGTATAAAAAAAGTGTCTGAGGAAATAAAAATCAAAAGCTCGACAGTTTATTTTTTGATGAGTTCGAGTAGTTCCGAGTCCGAATCCCTGTCGAATTGGAGGCTTCGCTGAATTTCTTCCGATGACACATTACATTCTCTTAGATACTTTGACTTATTTTATATAGCTTATTATTTCCTTGCATTTTGTGTTTTTGTAATTACCCTAGTGTTTTTTTTTTTAAATTTTAACTTATACAAGTGATTCAAAGTATCTGGATAGTCTTTCCGGTGCTCTGATTGCTAGTTTGATGTATGAATTCTACATATATAATCAATTATTGCTGCAAACATTAATTACGTCAGTAAATTCATCATTATTCGCGTAGGCAGTTTCACAATAGACAAACAAACAAAAAATATTTTCTTTAAAAGTTGTATGTCTATTAATTAGGATTAATGAGACTGAGCCAAGTAAGTAGTTCTTTACAAAATTCAATTGACTAATTCATTATCATACTGTGTAGTACATAATTTCATTCATTCATCATTTACATAGACTATGTATATATATGTATATATTAATCATATTTCGATTACTATCGTCGCGGATGCCAATTTATAAATGAATCAAGTCATTATAATCTTCTCAACCAATCAGATTTCAAGACATTTTTTACTGATTTATGATTGGTTAAATTTGTTGTGATTTGATTGGTTAATATAATAATATATTAAGAATAAATTTGAATGAAATTCAAACTTTAAAAAGTAAAATGAATTATTCATCATATCAAATATGTTTATGCTCATTTCATATAATAAATATTTTAATGGAATATTTTATAAAATATAAATTTAAAATTGAATGTATCATTCATGATATTACTGATTATAAACAACATATTTATTCTATTGATAGTGAATTACATGAAAGGTAAATGAAATATCGATTTTGTATTGATTTAATGATTATTGATAAGAGTAATCAAAATTTCAGAAGGGGTTTTTTGTGTAGATATTATAGCCATTTCAATAGTTGAGGTTATGAGTCGAATGAAGCTAGACCACCATGGAAAATCTGGAACTACTGGATGGTCGTTTCGTCCTAGTATGCGACTATTCAGCAGTGTACATCCATGATCCCGCGATCGCGAGATCTGAACCCAGGACCTATCGGTCTCACGCGCAGATACTTAACCTCTAGACCACTGAGGTATGCAACGGTGTTAATGTATAACTTCAATCAATCCACAAAATTGAGCGACACATCCAACATTGCCATCAGTGAGTTACTTTCTCACAACAGACCTGGTTGAAATTCACTGATCATTGCTTCTCACTAGAACTCCAGGAAACAGCTATTGAAGTCATTCACTAGTGAGCACATGATCATTATTATCAGAAGGGGGGTTTTGTGGAGATCTTAGTAATTTTGTAGTGGAATTCATGAGTCAATTGATTTTAGATCACCATGGAAAACCTGGAAGCACTGGACTGCCGATTCGTCCTAGTATGGCACTATTCAGCAGTGTATATCTACGACCCCTCACACGGAACTTGAATCTAGGATCTACCGGTCAGTAGTGCAGTTTCGTGGATTGTTTGAAGTTAGATATTAACACCGTTGGATGCCGAATTACTGGTCTAGATATTTAGCGCGAGCCTGATATGTCCTGGGAGTGGTAATGGGTGAGTGCTGCTGCGGAGTCCCGTACTAGGACGAAAGGGCCGTCCAGTGCTTCCAGGTTTTCCATGGTGGTTTAGCTTCAACTGACTCATGAATTCGACTATTAAATTACAAACAAGTCAATCCAGGCATTCAACTAGTAAACAGCGCTTTGTAGTCTCGAAACCAGTTCATCATGAATAATAATGTTTCTCTTACAGTATGTTCTTCAGTGCTTAGGCTATGGTGTGAAATAAAAATTAAAAAAGGAGTTTCTGCGACATGTTTTTCTTTATGATTTTGTTTCCGTTGGTTTTAAGGAGAGTTTTCTGATGAAAACTTTAATTTGTTTATTCGGCTGTTGATTAAATCTGTTGAGATTCAGTTTATTTCGTCAGATCAACTCTATGAATATCTACTAGGTGAATTCTATTCTGTTATAGCCTTACGATACTTGAAATGAATGGGTAATCATCGTGGTTTTTATTTGATCCCCTCCTTTGAGTAGCCAGGTTTTCAAGACCTTTTTTAATAAGCATTGGATTCCAAACGGATTTACTTGTTAAACAATCACTTTTATATGCATGTACGAAATTATTAGACCAATGAAGACAGTTTATGAATAATGTGGTGACAGGTGTACTGGTTGTGATAAAGAAAACTAATAGGAATACGTCAAATAACATTAAGTGACTTATTTCTGTTTACTACATGACCGCTGCCGATCAATGTGAAAGACCCGAGCTTCATATTGTCTTGACAGTACCTTTTCCTAACCACGAAGGGAGGTGTTCACTAACTTTTTGGACCAGTTGTCTGGTAGTGC